ATATTAAACCTTATAAATTTTAAACTTTACACAAAAGCAATGTTTCAAGAAGAAATAAAAGCAATTTTTCAGAGGTACGTCTCATTCTGGCCTTCCAGATATATTGAACTAGAATTTCATGACTAAAAAAGTACTTTTGAAAACAAAATCGTATAAATATATTGATTATATATCTATCATAAAATAATTAATTAATTAAATTTCAACGCACATACAGTCTGTGTGTTGGGTTAGGGGTCCAAAAAAAACTCGGCAATTCCTGTCTTAATACTACACATCGATAGTGAGGCCAAAAGTTTTGCGAAACACTTATATTTCTCGAAGTATTTGTACATTAAATGATCAAACATTTTAAGGCATAAAACTTTTTTCGTTGAATTTTTTATCGAGAAATAATTAAGCGTTAAATTACTACTCGTTTTGAATTCATATGTAATTAAAGAAAGAAAGAGAGAGAGAGAGAGAGAGAGAGAGAGACCTAATGAGGAGGCAAACAATTTAAGTAAATTTGATTCCCAGAGAGAAAAACAATCAAAAAAAATGTCTACAAATGTGTGATCAAAACCAGTCCTGTTTGATAGCCCACGAGAGAACCAGCGAGAAGTTGACGCCACAGAAGATCCCGATGACGAGACATGCGGCCGCCATCATACCGGCAGTGCCCGCGTGTTCGGGCGGCACCTCCCGGGGCGCGTACATCATACACAAGCTACTGAAGTAGCCGCTGGACAGGCCTAACAGCACACCGCCCATAATGAACACATAGTCATTGTCGATGAGCACCGGCCACTGGCGTGCGCCCGGGTTATAGTTACAGAACAGGAAGAACGGTATGAACAGTACCCGTGCAACCACCGGCACCCACAGGTACTTGGGCCCCGGTATGGTGAACCAGTTGGGGAACACGTTGCCCACCATCGCGAACAGATTGAACACTAGGAAGCAGTTGACGGCTGAGTAGTATTTGTCGGTGACATCGCCGAAAAAGGCCTCATCGATGGGTTTGATTTCCGCGTGAACGGCCGGGAAGATGGATAGGGTGACGAAGAACACCATAAATACGTTGAAACATTGGACCCAAATCTGCTTGAAGACCGCCCAATACGGCGGAAACGAGCGCTTACTGTCGCCGCCTTTGGTGTCCACCGTCGACGACACCTCCGTGTCCTCTATCATACAGTAATGTCTGTAGAATTTCTGCGAATCACATGAAACCAAGAGTTTTATGAATTGGTTTTAAAGTTATATAAATTCTTGAGACGACTAGAGATGAGAGTGTCTCGAGAGGGATGTCTGGTATGTCTGGTAATGATCGCCGGGGACTCACGTTTATGGGAAGCGCGAAGTATGTGTCAAAACAGGCCAACAGTACTAAGAGGGCGGCCAAGAAGTAGTAGATAGCGGCCACCCGTACGTTAGGGGACAGTGCGATGGCCACGATGTTGACGATGGAGGTGAAGGTGCCGCTGATGTTGGAGCCGAGAACCACAGCATTCGAGTACTTCATCGGCAGTTTGGCGGCTAATCCGTAGACGGAGTTCTGGTACACGCCGTTGGCTATGTTGAGCACGACTACGGTGGCCAGGGTCACAATAAAAAACTCTGGCACCCATGAGCTCGAGTCGACCATCGCTAAGATAATTGTCACTATGAATAGTATCACTTCCGCCACAATGGCGATCGTTATACTAAGCGTCAGATTCTTGCCCCTGAAGTATAAGAAGTTTTTGATTACTTTTTGATGTGCTTTTAATTGGTGTTTGATTTTTATGTAACCATTTGTTTACCCGAATTGGAAAATAATGTTAAACACGTTGAACAGCACGTTAGGTATCTGAGCGGCCAGACCTAAATAGGACAGGAAGTCACTCCTATACGTCTGCTCCACCTTTACAGCGGCTGCCGTATCGCTCAGGGATGTGTTGGTCACCGGTATCGTCAGTTTATATTCAAAATACTTGACCATAAATTGAGATAAAGTTTTTTTTGTTCAGTAAAATTGTGTGTTGAAAATGCATTGACTTGATACGCGATATAAAGTGTACGGGTACCTGTTGTGCAGTTATAAACATATTCCAAGGCATCAGGGTACCGATCCCGTGCAGTACCAGTATAAATATGACCACATTATAGCTGTTTAAATATTTGTTAAATTTAGTTGGATGATTTTTGTTTTAAAGTTAAAATATTTTTATATACAATATTTGTGTTGAGAAAAAGTTTCTCAAACTCTACGAGAAGTCTATGAATAATAAGAATAATAATCTATTCATCAGATTTTTCCTGTTTTTCATTTTATAAACTAAACATTTATTAACAATTCTTATGAAACGTTAAGTGCATACATAATAATGTATTATAATTACAACATGTATTGTGTATACTGTATAAGAAATTGAGTGGCAAAATGAGTGCAATTCTCAACGTCTCAAATCATTTGTCTGGCAAAACAAACTCATATAAATGTAGTATTTTTTGAGTGCATTCGTGAATTGTTTGTATATTTATTTAAATTTGTAATTCTGTCGCTCAAATAACAAGAAATACAATATTATATTATGTGACAGATATTTATGAAACACTTTTGCCGATTAAATTACACTCCCGTCTCAAAATACAGCATATTTTTACACTAATTATCAAATACTAGTTTCAAATATAAGTTAAACTAAACGAAAAGTGTTTAAAATAGAGGAATAACGAAAAAAGTTTATTTTCAATAATCTAAACATTTTGCTAATTATACGATCAGTTAAGGGCAAGAAATTATTGAGCAATAAAGCGATTAAGAAATACATTGATTGGTATTTTTGATCATATATTTTATGGGAATGTAATACATATTAAATATTGAATTCCAGTATTAACTACACTTATGACACAACACGTGAATTTAAGATATTTTTTGTGACTATAAGATATTCAACTTATTTTATGCGATTATCTTTTTTACACTATTAATAAAATAACATTTCTATTCATTGAATCACAAATTCATAACAAAATACCGATTCTAAGCACTTTTAAACTCAATCCAAAGTTTTTGAAACACTTCAAAAAACATATGTTTAATTAATTGATATGAATATGAAATGAATTTCATACTCAACATTGCCCTCAAAATTATAAATACGATAACATGAAAAGTACTTATGTTTAAAAGTACACAACTGGATACGATATGTTAATTTGAATGACATTCAAGAATATCGTAATTAATTAATTGAATACAATTGACTGAATTATGGGAACAATTGAATAAAATCTAATAAAAATGAAGTGATTTTTTAAAAATACAAATCTAATACTCACTTATCTTTCGGCGAGTTTTGACTGCAATACTGATTGGCTTTGAATTCAAAGTCATTGCTATCGTTATGTTGAGACGATTTGGTGATCACATTATTGGCCGTCTTTTGGTCACTATTTGGCAAAAAGGACTCGTTTTCGTCCACTTCTCGTATGGAGTCGTCTTCGGCTAAGAGTATAGAGTGAGAGCACTGGTCAGCGCCGGTAGTATCCATATCCCGGGTCATAGAAATCGCATTAATCCTTGAGCGCAAGTTATGCGGTATATAAAAGTCGGAGCCAATTGTGTGTTTGGGCGATGGGAATGGCATGCATAGCACGTGCCGATGAATTAATTGCTGTCTTTTTATGCATTATCCTAAAGACCTAAATAACTACTAGAAAACTGTTGGCGATTAAGTTAGGCCTAACAATATCTTAATACCAGGGATCGCCCGCAGACTCTGCTCGCCATAGACGTAGCCATTGGGCAGAACGAGGGGCTGGTTGTGCTTATTGAGCGGTTGGCCCGATATGTACTGTATTTACAGTAATAACTAATACTAATAATAAGTTTCAATGAAATGATTTTATTATCTCTCAAAATACAAACACAATTCAACACTAAAATAATTGTAAAACTTTTTGTTGAGTTATATTTTAAACAATAAATTAATTTCTCTTATGCTTTGCTTTAGATTTCTTGAACTTCTTATGACTTTTACCGTTGTTTTCATTGCGTTTATTGTCTTCAATGACCCCTCGTTTGGCTAAACTGTAGACAAAAAGACAAAACAAATGATAAATGAAACGCAAATCACTCGCAAAACCAATAGTTTTTCATACGTTTTAATAGAGATGAGTGTCTTTGCGGTGCCCTTCAGAGCGCTGTCCCAGTCATCCTCCGAGCCTTTGATCGCAAACTGAGACAAATCTTTGGACAACTCTTTAAACTCCTTGTGCG